GTTATTATCCAAACGGTGCGCACGACACTTATCAGGTAAATGGTCAAAATCAGCTGCCAGTCGGTCAGCAGCAGTATCATTATCAACAACCGCAACAACAGCACCTGCAGCAGCAACAACAATACGCACAACAACAACAGCAATATCAACAGTATCCACAGCAACAATTCCAAGGGCAGCCAGTTCATTTAAATCCTAATCAGGTATATCAAACGGTGGGTGGTCAACAACATTATCAGCAAGCACCGCAACAGCAATATCAGCAATTGCCACAACAACAAAATCAGCAAGTGCCACAGCAACAATATCAGCAAGTGCCACAGCAACAATATCAACAGGCTCCACAACAACAACAAGTACCGAAGCAACAACAGTATCAGCAAGTGCCACAGCAGCAGCAGCAGCCGCCGCCGCCCCCGCAACAGCCGGCCGTACAGAATCAGCAAGCACAACAGCAACAACCACCAGCACCAGCAGCCGTACAACAGCCGCAACCTCAACAACAACAGCCGCAACAGGCACAACAACAAGTAGAGCAACCGCAGAAGGCACCACGGCAACAACCACAACCAGCAGATGGTGGTGCTCAAGCTTCTGTAAATACTCAACAACAAAACATTCCGCCGAAGTATTAAAGCGACAAGTCTTTTGAATATGCTTCCGCTATTTGTTAACGTTACACAGCTGCAGTTATTTACTAATCAAATAATCATATACGATCAAAACAGAGGCCGTTTTTCTCACTGGCATAAATCAATTTAAAAGCGTGTTATTCTTACCAAGGCTCACGGCTTTGTGCGTCAATATAAGGCCGCAAATATGTGTCCGCAATGTTGCATATTTAAAATTCCATTTTTAACTGTAATTCATGACGGTTACATACATACATACGTACAAATCGATTTGGCATTTTATTTTCCTCTAATGCGAATATTCGAATAAAATGTAGATGCATACCAAATTTTTTAAGTATTGTACATTTAAATTGATCAACTGTGAAGTTTTTGTGTAAATATGTATATCAGCACTTTAATTTGTTACTTTACTTTCATCAATCATTTATTTACTGTATATGCATGATGTAAATATTTTATTAAACCTACTAGATTTGCGAATTCAACGAAACAAGCTTCGAAACCGGAATTAACTTTTTATACTTGCTCTCTTAAAAGTATATTAAAACTCATTTGAGGAAATTTAATAATAAAACCAGTATTTTATTTATTAGCTTGTATATACGAGGTCACAATGCTCCCAAGATGGATTTTTTAATTCAAATTATACTTCATGTAATAGGTTGTTTTTTAGGGCTTCGTTTATAATTTTAATAGCGAAAAAACCAGGGCTTCGGAGCGGAGCGGAGCAAAGGACCAAGGAGCTAAGGAGCAAAGGATTTTAGCTGGGGCGGAGCTAGAATAAAGAGTTAAAAAAATCATTTGCTCCTTAGCTCTTTAAAGAAAAAATTTCAGCTTACAAATTTACTTATTTTTTATTTTTTTGCCACCGAAAACAACCTCGTTAAATAACATTCCGTGAAAAACCGATGACTTAACATCTAATTTTATTTACAAGACAAAATACATTGGGATCATATAAATATGTAGTGTAGGTTGTGGGAAATCGCGATTGAAGTTTGGAATACAATTTCTCAAAAACGCGAAGATAGATTTTCTCCAAAGTCTCACAAAACTCTTAAATTATTTAAGTTTTAGTGTTTATTGTTAATTAGTTTTGAATTTATGAAGGATTTTCTTTAGTAAAATTTTGTCGTAAGCGCCATTTGTCCGCAATTTGGCAGCCACTTTGTATGAAATACGACAAAATGTGATAAAAATTTCTACTAAATTAACGACACTTTTTATTCAATATCTCGGAAACTAAAGGAGATATCCAAAAATGGAGAACGTCATTTTTAAGATATTGATTAGTTTAATATGGCTGCATCACTAACTAAATTTTTACTAAATTATAGAAAAAATTGTAGTCAATATCTCGGAAACTAAAGGAAATATCTAAAAACTGATAACACCAATCGAAAGACCTTATTTCAAAATATATAACTGCATCTAGAACTACGACGATAAGTAAATAAATAAATAACTAGTAATTTTTAAGCGAAAAACACAACAGACTTCAATTCTGGTATACAAATTTAGGATTACCGTTAATTTCTCCATGATCCAATGATCGGATCTAAATCAAATTAGTATGGAATCACCCTTCGAATTATCGAAAGCAGTTAACGTGGTCCATACATAAAAAAAAATATTCCGAGGAATTGATAACCTGTTTTTTTTAAGTCAGTTAAACAAATTTTATTGGGAGCAGGAGCGGAGCTCGGAGCGAAATAAAATACCGGAGCGGAGCTAGAGCGGAGCGATGGCAAAAAAATCTTTGTTCCGAGGACCCGGAAAAAACGCTACTGCAGTCGAATGTTGTTTCAAGGTTAGTGTGACTTCCTGAAATGAAATCTCTTTACAATGAGTTTAGGTTTGGCTATAAAACGTGCCGTGACTTTTTTCTACAGCAGCTCACTTCGAAAATCAGTAGCGTTTGTCTTCTCTGGTTTTAATTGAATTCCAATGCTGTTGCTTGATTTCAAATATAATTTAAATAATAGACAGGGTTTATTAAGATCTACTTTCAAAGAAATTTTATTTAAATGCTTTAAAATGGGTTATAAAAATTTATAAAAATAAATTTTCCAAATCGCAGGTTAATACTTTAAATGTAATAATGGGTTAATTTTTAAATATACTTTTAAAACTAATTTTATTTTAAACAAAATCTTGCTAATGCTGGATTTTCAGACCAAATAAGTAGCACATTTTTTTTTATTTCTTTGTGAAAAATTAAACTTATTTATATATACTCATAATATGATTTTAGAATGAATGTTGCTTGGAAAAGCCTTCATGTAAAACGGATTTATGTATTTAAGTATGAATATGTAGTTTAAGGAGCAATCGCTTTACTCAAAATCTGCTCGCTGGAAAGATATGCTTATTGTTAGGCCAGGGTTAGGAAACGTGTGGGGTATTTTAGTATTCTTTTTTTTTCTTGATGCATGTTTTCACTAAAAGCCGGTTGCACTTTGTGATGAAACTAAGAAAAAATCAACTAAACTTTGTATTTTTCATACGGAACTATTTTTTTTATATCCTTTTGCTTATTTGAAATAAATTTTTGGTAGAAATTAGGTTTTTAAAATTTGAGGTGATATTCGGAAACGAAAATTTTCCAAAGCATTGCCTATTGATTTAATTGTTTAACAACTTTGCTTAAATGTTAAAGACCGTTTTAAACTAGACAGGTTTTTTTGGTCGAACGAGAGCTTTGGATAAATAAATAAAAATAATAATTATCAGTGGGAATTAAATTTTCTATACTTTTTACGAGGAAATAATAAAGGACCTAATTTAAAATCAATTTTAGGCAAAATTGCGTTGAAACTCACATTAAATTTTGGAATCTTGAGTTTTACAATATTTTTTTTTGAATTTGAATGCTTATTGACTTAATTCTGTAATAAACAATTTTGCTTTTGGTTTAAAAGACTTTTCTATAATTATAATGCTTTTTATTTGTCCTGCAGCCAAGAAAAAATCAAGCAACAAAAAAAATAACATTAACAACGGGAAATAAATTTTGTATATCTTTTTTACAATCGGATAATAAGAGGCCTCATTCAAAATGGATACTTCATTCCCACTTACTCGAAATTTTGCAATATAAACTTTTTTTATTTTTGAGGTTATGCTTGAAACTCAAAATAATTAAGTATTCTATGTACTTGTATTTTTGCAGTCCGTTCCAGGCGTGTATTTCGTCCTGAAATTAAAAAAAAAAAATGCGTCAAAATTTAAAATTTTGAATATTCTTGTTGTAATCAAATAGCTGGCTCTGACAACTAATAAACAATTTAGTCTCAATTGTCTTGACTCAAATTGTCTTATGTAAAAGCAGCATTAGTTGTAAATTGTAGTGTAAAGTAGGCATCCAGACAATTATAAAGACAATACATTTTTCAGCAACCGCCGTTAGTGTCGTTTGGCGTGAATTTCATATTATTTACTAAAATGTCCTAACACAATGCACTTTTTCATAATTCTGCGATTTTTTGCGATTTTGTCTTGTCTTTTTTTTTCAAATTAACCAAGACGTGACCGAATTGTCCAATTCACTGTCTTTGAAAAATCAAAGACAGTGACGAAGACAATTGTCAGACAATTAATTAAGAAAACAATTAATGGTCTTTGTGTGAGTGTTTAGTGAAAAAGTGTGAATGTATTTCTATTGTCTTGGCAACCCCGTAGCGAATGTCATGAATTAGTCACTTAAGTGTCTTGTACGGCCATATCAAGTCTTCAGTCGTTGATGGCATCTGGATGACTTTGTCATGCAGTGATCATTGATGATATTCAAGCGACAATGTACTGCAATGAACTTTTTATAAGTGACCGCTGCAAGACATTGTCTGTTATACGTCTTTGATAGGAGTACACCTGCATAACATTCTCACCAGTGTCATTGTCAGCTATATGTCGCTTAGGATTCACAGCAAGAGCGACGATGTCACCAAATCTCCATTAGTGACGATGTCACCAGTGACCATTTTCGCTACTGGGTAAATTCTCATGTAAACGCCGTGTAAGAGAAAAATAGATTTTTTGTAATTTTGTATAACGTGTTATTTTTTTCCTGCTTATCTGTGATAATTAAGCAAATAAATAAATAAATGTTCAATTTGGCTAATTTCTATCTAATCAACCTTCGAGACTATATAAAAAGATTAATTGTTCAATATTAATTTTGAGCTTCCATAATTCAATTAAAATTCACTAATCCTTAAACGTCAAAAAAAAGTCAATCTATCAACAGCATATCTTTCCCGCATGCAGATTTTCCCCAAGCAACAATTCGATTTGATATGATCGGTTATTTCAATAAAGCTCAAAGGCGACGCTGAGCAAAAAAAAACTCCAGCTTAAAGCGAGCAAAAATTTCTGCAGCGAAAAATAACAGCGGTTGACAAAGATCATAAAAAATGAGCAATTGCATGAGTTCAAGCGCACATAAAAAAGAATGTACATATGTACGTACGTTTGATGCAAAAACATATTTGTATCATTGTACGTACGTATGAAAGTGTATGCAGCATCAACAATTTTCTTTTTTGTGAACAAAAAGCAATGAGTAAAGCACATTTTGCGTATATTTTTTTTATATAACTATACATATTATAAACATGAATATACTATATAAATATTATATGTATGTATGTTTTGTGGGTGTGTGATTGTGTTCAGCAGATGAGCCACTTATCGAATTGACGTAACCTTTTGTTGTAGTTATGCAGTCACTGATAAGTTTGCGTAAAAGCAGTTTTTATTTGACCTTGGCATCATAAGGCAAAAAACAAAAAAAAACACAATAGTAGAGTACATAGCAAAACTAAGTGTGGAGCAGTAAAACGACAAAAGTTTACGTGGCGGTGGCGTGTAAGCTTAAGCTTTTTTATGCTTATGCACTGATTTATAAACAAACGTTTAACGGCACCATTATATGGATATGCTAAATGATACAATCTGATTTACAATGTATGTTGTAGAAATTGAAATTGGCACGAAATTATGTTATGTTATGTTGTATGTTGTATGTATGCATATATTAAGTTTTAAGCAATTGGACAATGAAATGCTTTTATTTAATGAATACACTAAGGATTTTGAATGCAACAGAATGTATAAAAAAACTATTTAATAATTAAACAGCAATTACTTTTAATTGTTTAGCAACAAAAGAGTATACATTTATTTTATTTTCTTTTAATCATACTTCTTTTCTTTTCGTAAATTTGTTTTTAATATTTGTGAGCAGTAGTTATTGTTTTCCATTTCATTTTGTTCGTAATGCTTTATAAATACATACTTTAGGAAGAGAAAACGAACGAAAGTCACAACATTTTACGGCGATTACTTTCCATGTTCTCCACTACACTTACGACGAGTCATCGATGGCCAGCTACAACAGCCACGCCTCTAACATTTTCAGAAAAAATAAGGCATTCTTCCCTCCTCTTGCGTCCCCTGATGAAACTGTTCAGACGAGGTAGCGCTCAGAAGCACTCAGCTAGAATCGCCACTCATTTTCTTCGCGGCAGTTTCTCTTCTCTCTGTTTCTTAATAGTTCAAGTTCGCCGTTTTGTTTTTAGTTAAATCATTTAATAGTATTTTTTTTTGTTCTAAATTTAATTAACGCACATACATATAATTGAAATTGATAATAATTTCTCTTAAGGAAATAGTTATTCATTATATGCATTGCTAATATTCGAATTTGAAATTTCTCAGTATCTAATAATCATTGTATACGTATGTTTTTCGCTCATTTTTTGTTATTGTTCTCTTTCGTTTGTTTCTGTCTTCTAAGTTATACATAAAGTACAAGAATCGAATTCGTGTCGAAATAAAATTAAATATATGTATGTATATATAAAAAAATAATCTTAGTTGTGGCAACTTAAGAGAGCACAAAGAAATGCCTTCAGCTCAATACATTTCCTTCATTTGATTTCATAGTCACATTGCCAACTTGACTAAATTCCGCTTGCTTAATTTACAAACGTGTAAATATACTGTATGTCGCTTAGTAATATATATATAAAATACGTAGTTGTTTGTATTGCAATGTAGTATGTGTGTGTGACATACGGTTTATCGTCGCGCCATAGCTGTGGCTGGCTTGGGCAAACCGCTGCGCTTGATGTTCGTTGTAGGCGGCCGCAGGCCAGATGGCTTCGGTATACCCGTTGAACCAGTGGTAATCTTAGTCAGGTTCAATGTGTTAGTGTTGGCGAAAGATACGGGCTTTGAAGCAGTAGCGGATGCAACCGGCTTGCCAATATTGCTACCACCGCCGCCGCCACTGTGTAAGCTGCTACGCGATGAAGCTGAAGACATGCTCTGCAAATGCATAAGTTTACACTACATATAATATGAATTTACAAAAAGTAACTTACTTCTGTGGGTGAATGCCTGCCGCCGCTATCAGAATCGGCATCATTCGCTGGCTGTGTTTGTGGCGCTTGCGGCAACGGTGGCATACCCTTGGCGGCAAGACTGTTGAGACTATAGTAACCGGAGGAGGGCCGCACCAGGCTGGCGCGTTTCACACCAGGCGCACGTAGGCCAGACATAAGCTTGGGTACCTTGAAAACTGCTTCGTCGGCTTGCTGGAAGAGTAAATATTATTTCATATTTTATTAGTCTGTGTGTTGAAGAAACATTCGGTTACTATGAAAGTACCAGCTGCAGCGTGGCATTCGGCGTACCGTTGCCAGTGCGCTGTAAATGTGGGAAAAAACAGTTTTCGCAAACAATGAATCCTCGTCACCCAAAATGAAGTGCAAACAAAAACCACTTACCTCCCTCGCAGAGTTTGTGGAAAAACCATTGCTTTCAAAAGTGGTGGGCTTCTTTAAGCCAAAACTGCTGTTGCGTCCCGCCGACAGGCCACTTGCGCTGCCATTAAAACCAAAATTACTCGATAAGTTGTGGAAGGATTTTGACTTGGTGCCCATTGGGGATTTAACGTCATCCGTTGATGTCTTCAAAGGTTGCGTGTTGCGTTGGTATTTAGTGTTCGTGGCAGTCTTCTCAGCGCAAGCATCCTGACAGTTGTTGAGCCCAGCATGACTGACGCTGGCGTTAGGCGGTCGCAAGCCAGGCGCTGTAGCACGATCCAAATCGCCCGCCGAAATCGCTTTAACCACCGTCATCTTTTGTAAACCGGAAATATAACGCGGGCGTGAACGTGAACGTAAACGGCTGGGCGTTTCTGGTGTCTTTTCGAACTCCTCATTGCTGACTAATGCGTCGCATCCTATTTCCGGCAAATTTCCGCCGAGTGTTGGTTTATCTTTCGGCTTCTTGTATGTTAAAAAATTCGGATTGATTTTTGATGCCGTCGTGGATTTCTTGAAGGTGTTTTGATTTCCAGTTGCCGACACAACGTCCTTTTCCGCTTCAATTTCTGATTTATTATTATTGAAGACTGCAGCGTTGTCGTCAGATACGCTCTCTACACACGCAATTTCATCATCGATGCAAGGCACATTTACAGCTGCAAGAACGTCATTCGCACTGCTTCCTTTGACAATTTTTATTGTCTTAAAACGATCGCGGTCACGTTCGCGCCGTTCTGAGAGTCTGTAGGTGCCAATAGCGTTGTAATTGTTCAAAGCCCCTGATCCGTGTACATTTTCATGCGCTTCATCAGTCTTTCCCAAATTCTCTTCTTTTTCTTCAGTCTGTTTCGGTGCACCCGCTTTAGTCGCTGCATCTGCGGCAACTGCACAATTTTCATACTCGTTATCTTCACGCTTATGTACTGTGAATGAAGCACCCAGTGAACGGGATGGCGAATGATGATTACTGCTGCCAGCGGAAATTGTTGAAAGATTTATATTATCATATAGCCGGCTGCGACGACTTAGCAGTCGTTCACTCGTTGCATTGACGTTGCCGCCACCACTGACCGTTATCGAGGAAACCGCCGATGAGGCAGATACCGATGCGGATGAGGGGGATGGTGAGGATAAACCAGAAGGCGCTGAGCAATCGTTCAATAATGAACGCTTAAGCTCTAAGCTGGCATTTATATCCAATTTGCTGTAACTGCCATTACGCCTCGATTCATTTTGACAGTCAGCGCCATTCGTTTCAACTATTTTCTCGTGTATATGGGCGGCATGAATATTACTATCAGCGCCGTGTTGCAAGGCTGGTGCTCTTCCCAAAGCAATGGTGTCCCGATGGAAGCGTCGTTTTATTGTCTCCAGCGATTTCCTCATTTTCACATGCTCAGCATTTACTTCCACCTTACTGAATTCTTCCAGCATATGCTCAAATTCCTGATCGTTATTGCTTGCCAAAAGCTCTTCCTCAGCGTGCGCGAGCTCCAATACATTTTGCATTTGTATATCGGCCGCGCTTTGTTGCAGTTCTTGTGTGCGCGCAGATACTTTCTCGTAAGTCTCATTGGGATTTTCAATATCATCTAACATTTGTTCGATACTCTCAAGACGTGGCAAAGTGCCTGAAAATGTTTTCGAATTCACTTTTTTGACGTCCGACTCCTGACCGAAGGTTTCATGCAGCACGCGTGTTGCATTCAATTTCTCCGGCGAGCCCACTATAGGCGAAAGATTGCTCTCATCTATTGTTAACTTCGAGGTCGTAGGTGTAAGATGCTGAGCGTCTTTGCCCATGCCAGCAGCATGCGGTGTTGACTCGTAGAACTTGCGTGCGGCCACTGTTTCGGCCAAATTTTCTGGAGTTTCACAACGCGTTTCTGACGCTAAACGCGCATCTGGTGTTAGCTGTTTAAATTCGAATGTTGCATTGGCTTTTGTGGGAAGACAAACAGTCTCGTCCATTGGCCATGGCCTCTTGAACGTCTCGTTGATGAGTTTAGCGGATGTGGGTGCAGTTGCTGGGTTATTTCCATTTCCATTTTCGATGCTTTCACACAAACTGCTTTCAACCAAATCAAAAGTTGTATCACTGATTACATCATCACTAAGCAGCATGGTACGATGCATAATGTTGTTTTTGCCGTCAGGCAAGCTACCGCCACCAACACCCACTGTGGTAGCATTGGCCGCCGCATTTAGACCATTACCCTGCTGTTGCTCATCTTGCATGCTCTCCGTGGAATTGTCCAAGGTACTGTAACCCGATGCCGTTTTGCTGAGCGCAAGTGATATATCATCGATCTGACCGATATGCGAATCTTTTATGAGTGTGCCATCACCCGACATTGTTAGCGATTCGAGTGCTTTCCTATCGCGTATCATGTCGCTTAACGTATAACCATCACTGGTTGCCTTATTGGCTAAGTTGAACAATTCGCCACCATTAAGCATTGGCTCGTTGAAATCTAGGCTTTGTGTCGATTGTAGAAAGTTTATGTTAGTAAAGTCCGCTGACGTGATCAGTGAGTTATTCATGCGCTCCATTGACATCTCCATGGAGGAACAAATGGATGAGGGGGGTGACGTGTCTTGCAAAAATGACTTATGCATCGTTGTAACTAGACCGCCAATTTCGAGATTGAAAATCGGCGGCTGAGGCGTGGCAATGGTAAATTTATGTGACAGCTGTTCGGAATGAGTTGGAAGCGTTGATTGCGCACCATTACTACCAGAGGTGTGTGCCTGAAGAATTGGTTAATAATAGCACAGAATAACATTTAGGAAATGAGTAAATAATCTTTATTATTAATATGTACTTACAAAGGGCGATTCAAGATTTTGCGCCAACTTCCTGCGAGGACGCGTAAATGTTCTCGAGTTTAGTTTGTAAGCTAAGCGTTGTAATATTTTTATGGGCATAGCGTATCCATTCCATTTGAGTGGGTGGCCAATTTTAACCATTACATGCGATTGACAGTTGCAATGACAAAAAGAAAAAGTTCAGAATTATAATTTGCTTGTAATACCGCACCATTTATGGAGTGCGACAACTATTGCAGACGTCCGGCACTGCGGTGTACTAAATAAAATAAGCACTTTGTATGTATGTGAACACATTGTTAGCTGGCTGAAATTTGCACAGAAAGAAATCTCAAAGATATTAACATATGGAAATGAATGTGTAAGCTGTTGTGGGCTTCAGGGCCAAACAGTAAGAAAAAGCAAAAGAAGCGAATGAGTCATTGATATAGTTTGATTTTTGCTTTTAAATTGCTACTGACCGTTAGCACACAATCACCACTTGATGCCGCACGCGACAGTTTAACGCCATAACTACATACATAGATACATATTTATTTATGTACTTACAGCCCGACACCCCTACATACTTACATAAATAATTAAGCACATTTTACAAACGTATTAAATTATCACAACTTTATTGGCACACAATATGTTGGCGAAGTAACACTTTTTGAGCTTGCTTACCTTGTTCCTGCTGATATTGCGTTGGTAGCGGACAATTGTTGCTTTTCCATTGCTGCAATATATTCGAAACGTCATCGTGTGTTTTATCTTCCAAGCAGCTGCGCAAATAAATCAATACAAATAAAAACAAAACGGATATATATATTGCTAATTCTTCAAGAGCGCTACATGCTATGCGGGGTATTACGTACATAAAAGAATCATCTTTCAACGCTTCATCGATGTCCAAAATGTCCATTGTTACTCTTTCTCTTTTTCTGTCGCTTTGATGGGCAAACTTTTGTGACTTCCAAGCTCCACTTCAACGCTTCATCCACCCGTTGTAGGTCTTCAGTAGAGGGCTTTTGCTACTGCTGTTTATTGGCGTATGTATATTTATAGCCTATTAGCGTGCTTTTACTAAATAAATAAAAAAATACTAAAGAAAATTCAGAGTTTATAAAAATTAACTAAAATATATTTGCGACAAAAAATAAGCAATGAAATCACGGCTGCGTTCCCATTTCCCATTTCTACAAAATGTCAATCATGTAGAGAAAAAAAACAAAGTCGCCCTATTTACTTCAATTTGCTATTTTTCCCAACGTTTTTTTCACTTTATCACTTAATTTTCAAAACATTATTATGCAATTCACAATTCCACATCCACTATCTGCTAATATACATAATTCTTGCCTTTTTCAAGTGGAATTATTCACCTTTTTTATAAATAAAACCAAAAATATGCAGCTCTCCCTACAATTTTAATCCAGCTGCTCGTTGAGCGATTACAAAGAACTGTCGGAGGTGTACGAAAGTTGTTGATTGCAGTACTAAAATTTTATCGATTACTCATTAATATGTATCGATATTTGAACCAGTGGATCTGAGTGGATCCTTGACTGGGACAAGTAAAGAATAGGGCCCGTTTGTGCCATGGGCCTATTGAGCCTTGCGTTGAGCTAGAAATGGGTGGGCTGGCCCATGATTCAATAGTTAAAGATTTGCTCACTAGTGACCTTATTATGGGCTGTTTTTGCTTACGCGTAAAAGCACATTTAGCGCATTTAGC